AAACATGCACGAAATACAAAATGAGAATAGTGACACATTTCTGAAGTGAATTTACATACTATACTATTGTATACACAAGTACTAGTATAGAAAATATAACATCTTACCTCACAAATCACCTACAAAATAACATTTCATTTACAAAAGAACAATCAAGCATAGGGTCTATCATATATGAAACTGTGTTCGTTGTTGATAGGTAAAACTTTGTTGATTGTTGGTAGGTAAAATATAAAGGGAAAAGGAGGGGAGAGGGAGGGATACATGGATAGGGACATAGAGAGGGAGAGGGAGAGGAGGAGGGGGAGGGGGAGGGGGAGAGGGGGAAGGGGAGTGGGAGAGGGAGAGGAATCGGTATACGGTTACTATACTATTAATTTTTCTCATATAGTATAGGTTTATACTTCATCTTCTTCATCCTTCACTGTTGCGTCCAACCCCACCGTAAACTAAACCCCACCGTAAACTACTTCAAATAGATCTACAAAAAAATTGGATTGTGATCAGATATAATGTATTACAATTACAATTTAAACTATAACTCCGATTTCCGCTTTCTTCCGTTACCAAAGTTTTTACATCTCGATCTCTCTCTTTTTTCCAGTTTGTATTACGACTACAGTTTAGAAAACGAAAGTTACGATTCGTTTCCCCGCGCAAACTGGGGATAAAATGGGAAATAAAGAGAAAAAAATCAATTCTATCATAACTAAAACCTTGCTATGGTTATATTTTTTTTTTTTTGTTTTTATGGCTATTGGGCCTAATTCCCCTTTAATTTAAGAAATATTAATATTTATTAAAAAAAATGATTAGTGAGTCTTGGTTAATTTGTAAATGTCCTATTTATAAATTATAAATTCATAGGGGAACCGTCGCTTAGCTGGTTTTTTCTTTAACTGACGTTTAATATATGCTGATAATAGTTATTGTATTTTTTGTGAACTTTTATTATAAATTAGTTATGGATTCCTAGAATATAGGAACCGGGAAGTTATAATATATGTAAAGACATATAACCGTATTTTTTTTTTTAAGTTGGACTAAACCTATCTCAATATGTTATGTTGCTAAATTAATAGTATCGACTCCTTTATCTTTTACCTTTTTCTTTTGTAATTGCTTTTTACCTCTTTTGTGTTTTTTCTTCGCAAGGGGTTTACCACTTTGTAGTTTTGTAATTACTGATAAAATGACTAATAATAATTACTATCCCCATTAAATAAATTAAAAATATTATCTCTAGAATTAGTACTTCCAAAATCAATAACACCTGAGCAACTAACTATACACTTCTTTTTTGTAGATAGTAACTTAGTTTTACTATAAAATTATTATATTAATGTCTGTAAAATATTATGGAGATAGTATTCCTTCCGTTTCGAAATAGTTGTCATTATAGAGAAAAAATTTCGTTTCAAAATAAGTGTCATTTTAAAGTTTCGAAGCAAAAGTCATTAGTTTTATATGGTATTCTATTTTTCAATTGGTTGAAAAGTGGTTAGGTGTATAGGTAATTATGTTTTTATCTTGAAAATATGTAAAATTAAATATTTCCTTAATCTGTGTGTAAAAACCGATAAATAAAGTGAAAAAAATGGAGTAGAATTTAAGATATCTAAGCACATTAGGGAACAGAAGAGCATTGACATGATCTTTAATTTAATCTTCTCATCTTTTCATGAAAGTCTTTCAATTTTTATAAACTAAAGTGACACGTTACGAGATTTGTTTATTTTCTTAGTGGCAACCGCTTGAGATTTTTTATTTTCTTAGTGACAACCGCTTTGAGAGAATAGAGAAGCTCGTGGGCTCTCGATAACTATAGAGTAGTCAGAGTTGTTCTTGAACAACGGTTTTGTAGTCTCTTTTTTTGTTCATTGCTTATTAATTTAAGGATTGTGTCGTTAATCTCGTTTCATTTCTTTACTCAATAGTACCAAAATCGGGACACGCTAAAACCATGTCGATTTTATGTCAGTTGGCTCTGCAATAAAATCTTTATAGCTTAGGTGAAACCTTGTTAATTCAAGGTGTTGGTTAACCAATTCACTAAACAATCTTAACAAAATTATGGCTCACTTTGGTTTACTAAACTTTATTTCAGTTAAACGAGGGAGTAATTCTGTTGAAGAGTATGATAATCTTAAACTGTAATCTTTATTAACATAAATTAAAAACTAACTAAGGTTTCAATTGGTGACCATATTTAGGAAGAAATAATAGTTTCTTATTCTTCAAATTTTATATCATCTATGTTGATTTATTTTGTCAAATAACATACATATAGATCCCATTTTATTTCTTTCATTTCTTTATTAGTGAAAAAATTTTATAAATAAAATTTATTTCTTCAATTTGGAAGGACACAAATTTCTATGTTTTTGTTTGTTCATGGGACTGCCACTAATCGAAACGTAAATAAAAAAAAAATATATTTTATGTCAAATACAATATTTAAAAAGTATAATTATACTTATAAAACCGTGGTAAATGTTATTCAGAAATCGTTTATGTTCACAGTGACTATAGATCCAAATCCACAGTACTATGGTTAGTTCTATTTCTATACATTTATCATCAGCTTTTTTCCAGTCCAGAAGATTACAAATAAATAATTTAACTTCATCCAACACCTCATCATCTCTATTCCATAGATATTGACTTTACAACTCATCATATCTATTCCATAGATATTTAACTAAAGTCAGTTGACCTATTTGGTAGATCAATATCCGTTAATGAGAGAAAGTAATAAACTATGGTAGATCAATCAAGGATCAGCCATGGATGAAGTTAAATTACTTATATTATATGTAATCTTCTGAACAATATACTGTATATCTTATAGTTACGTTCTTTGTTACCAATAAAGAATGGAAATTAGAAAGTAATAAACCATGGGTAGATTAATGGTCGATAGAGTTTAGAAAACGACTCTTCACCCACTCATTTAAATAGTTTTGGAGATTATCTTTCTTTGTTAATTGGTTCATCGGATGGTGTGGTTAATGAGACAATCAAGGTATCTGCACTATAATATACTGCACATGATTTTTTTAATAATATTTACAAATATATATTTTTTTTTTATAAAACTATCGCACCACCAACTTGTTATAGTGTAGCAATTATTATTATGATTATTTTTGAAACGCCCACATGAACGTTACAATGATTTGTTTATATTGTACAACCATACATTTGTCTGTGTGCAGAGAGAGAACAAGATAGAGAAGCATATTTAAATAAGCCAACATTGATCATTATCTATTTTTAAAGTTCTTTCCTCAGTGTTCAAATCGATACCTATTGGATACTCTCTTGTACGAGTGGGCACAAGTCGAGTAATCGGTAATTTTGGTATACTTAATACTCGGCTTGGCTTGTATGAATAGTAAATTTTTTGACTTATATTTAAATTTGTTAAAAAACGAGTACTTGCAAAAAATTATCGGACTTACATGTTACTTGTTTTTTATTACTTGTTACTTGTAAATTACTTACAATCTAACTGATTATTATTGCTAAATTATTTAATGATTCATTAGAATTTAACGGTAAATTATTTGATGTTTCTTTTTTATATTTTAGTCAATTCAAAAATAGATTATATAAAAATAGAAAATTTTAAGGATGCTTATATAAATTTAAAACTTATGTTGATGCACTAATGAAAGTAAAAATATAAACGAGTTATTTTACTATGATTTAGGAAAATGTATCTTAGTTCATTAACAAACAAAACAAAGTCAAATAATTAATTTTATTTTATTATATGATATTTGTTTTATAATTATAAGTAATTTAAGAATGCATCCTAATACATAATTATAAATATAAACAAAGTCAACTTGATACTTAATTCGGTGAACAAATACTCATCTTAAAGATCATGTACCTATGAAATAACAAAGAGGAAGCTAGCAACGAATAATTTTGTACAGTCACTAATATAATGTAATACATAAATTTAATTAATTAATAAAATGGATATCAATTATTTAATAAACCAAATAATATATAACAAATAATGGGACAAGTAGAGGATATCAAGTAACAAACCAAGTAATTAAAAATAAAAAAACAACTTGATACTTGACTTGTACTTGCCAGTAAGAAAATTCGCTTACTTGTTACTCGACTTGTTTATAGCAAGTACTTGTTTTTTTAAACCAAACCGAGTCAAGTAGTGAGTACAAACCGAGTATCAAGCTTTTGTGTCCAGCCCTACTCTCTTGTCTATTTTTCTCCCATATCTCTTTTAACTTTTACAATATACACTAAATTTTTATGTGGTTTTATAGTGCAGAAATATTTTAGAATATAAATAATTTATGCAATCAAAATATTTTTAAAAAATTATATTAATGTTCTGAAATTTGTTTGTATATTGCTAGAAAATTTATATCAGATATTACTTTAATTTATGTTTTAATATCAGATATTATTTTATTTTTCAATTATTACAGTCATTTTCGTTATAAATCCTTACAAAAATCTATGTAATTTATTTGCTTAATTGTATAATATATAGTTTGATAAAATTTTAATTATAAAAATTATTTTATGTGAATTTATCAACCTTGACATTTTATTTTATACAATATTTAATTTAATATGAAAGCTTCTTTAAAATTAAATAAATGTAACTTTCTATTTATGAAAATAGAAATAAAAATAATTCATCAATTTAATTGGTCTATACTATTATTTGCGAAGTGATTTTTCGCAACGGAGCTCCAACGTTAAAAGTTAGAGTGGTTAATATCGTTTATACCCTTAATGAAAATAATATATAAATTACATGCAAAATAAAAACGAATTTAAATTATTTTGATTAGATAAGTAACTAAAACTAATAATAATCATAAGAATTATCCAAAATCTAAATAATATTTTTTTAAATAAGATAATTCTGATATATATTGTGATGTTATCTGAAAATATATTATGATAAAAAGTTAACATTTAAAACAATATAAAATACATAAGTAAATATTAATCAAGTTAACTTCTTAATTTTAAATAATGGAAAAAGTCTTATTTGATTTAAAATTATTTATAAAAGTGAACATAAATTACAAAGAAATATATGTAAGAATTGTTAAATAAAAGTATAAATATTATTGGTTTCAAAAAATAAAACATAACTAATACTTTATCATTATAATCTTTCAATTAGTAAAAGATGTATTAAAAAATAATTATAAAATGTTTAGGTCCGCAAATGCGGGCAAAACACTTAGTTTCATATTAATTACAATTATGCTGTAATTTCTAAACTTGCAAAAAAATAGTGTACTTATTTTTGAATTTTTTCATAAATTAATTGAGCATATCTATATATATAAAGGAAAGTTGATTCCCTCATTAGAGTGCCACGTCAGAAAATACACTTCCATCTTTCTGCCATGTGTATTAGTTTACACGGGCCTCACGTTTTTGATTTCCTGGGCCGCAGCTTTATAAATCCATGGCCTGTTCGTGTGTATACCTTGCCTTAAAATGTTTTGGGCCTTAATTGTTTAGCCCATAGCCTCTGCGTGTATCTTCCCCGACGAAAGGGTTTTTGTTTCTTCAACCAGTGCAGCCGCCATGGACACTCCACAAACCTCTTCTTTCATTTTTTTTTTGTCGATCCCGTTTCCTCAATCACAAGTTAATAGAATTTTCGTTACTGATTCATTAGAGACTTTAACACTCTCCCACGATCTATCATCAATTCCCCCTTATCAATTTAGAGTCGGTGGAGATGTGTATATATAGAGGTCTGATTTTCCTATTCTCATCATCGTTCTCAAACTTTTCTCTCAAATCTAAAGTGTTTTCAGTGGTAATGGTTATGTCTAGGGTTTTCTTTTCCGATCTCAAATCTGGTCGTTGCTCCTCAACCGTCGAGGTCCGCCTGCTTCAGTTCTGGGAGGCACGGAATCCACGCCGTGGAGGGGAGTTGATGTGGATCGATATGCTAATGGTCGATGTCAACGTACGTGTTCTGTTCTTAATAAGCTCAAACAACACATGTTACTCCGACAGCAGCCCTACTTATCTCTGACGTTTTTTTAAATTTTTTACAGACCACCATCATGCAGGCGACCATCAATGCTGGCCGTGTGGGTGCTTTCCGACCAAAACTTGCCGCCGGCAGCATGTACTCTCTCTCCGGTTTTGATGTCAGTCGATGTGGTCCGAATTATCGGTTAACTGACTCTCCATTGATGATCCGGTTTGCTGCGACGACCGGTTTAGATGTGATCACTGACCCGGTTTCACCTTTACCGCAAGAGGGATTCAGGTTTCGTGGTCATTCCGAGCTCATTGGTTTGGCTAACACCAGTACTAAGCTGCCAGGTAAATAACCTAATTTCAAATACTCTCATGGCCGGACACTGTTTTAACTGACTTTTCTGGCAGACATTGTTGGAGAACTTATTGCCGTGAAGAGCACGGTCAGTGATCCTCCTGAGGAAAAAAACCGTGTTATGGCCACCATCAAATTGGAAAGGTAAGACTTTTAATTTTTAGTGGTTTAATTATAAAACCTGACCGATGATTCTGTATAGCAACGTAGTCCTATTTCATGTCTTTGATTTTTTTTTTTTAATGGTTTTCGATTTTTTAAATAGAAAAAACAACGTAGTCCTGTTTCATGTCTTATATTCTTTTTTTTAATGTTTTTTTATTTTTTAAAGAAAAAACTGTTTCATTCCTTTTCCAGTAATGAATCTGTCACTTTGAGTCTCTTCGATGCCGAAGCTGTAGCTTTCCACCACAGGCTTGACAATATGTGTATTGATCCAAAGGTCATTGTTGCTACCGCCATCAATCCCAAAATGGTCGGAGGTAACTTGGAAAAATTACATAGATTTACTCTTAAATAATTAGGATATCATTGACTATTGTATGTGTGAGTTTACAAAGGATATCATCGACTATTATATGTGATTTTATAATCTTATATCGAATGCATTTTAAGATATGGTTTGATTTTAATTTAAAATTACTTAGGGTATCGTTGACTATTGTATGGGAGTTTACAAAGGATATCGTCTACTATTATATCTGATTATATTCTATATCAAATACATTTTAAGATATGGTTTTTATTTTGACCGATCCTTACCGTGGTCAGTCTGTGTATTACCTTTCTGATGTTTGAGTATTTTACATTACCTAATAGTATGATTGCATAATAAAGTTATTTTATCTCTGTAGGCCATCTATACCTCAATGCAACCTCTGGAACACACTTATATTTTGACAAGGAGACCAGTCCAGGGGAGTCATTCTTCTATCGATAATCTAAGTGAATGCTATAGTAGTATTAGGGAGCATAAAATGGACTCACGTTCTGGTTATTTACTTGCAGTTTGGTGGCCAGAGACACTGGACTCCCACCTGTTGCACCCTCGCTGAAAGGATATGCTAAAGTGGAGACACTAACTATCACTGAGCTCAATACCTTCATCATCACGGCACCCTCACAGGTACCAACATTGTAAGGGTGTTCGAAAATATCACATATATGTTTCAGGATATGTAAATATATAATATTGAACGTAGGCTATTGACTTCCTATGCACTGGAGAAGTGAGACGCGTTGAGTCAGAGAAAGGGTGGTGTTATGTGGCATGTTCCAAGTGCTCCAAGAAACTGCAACGTACAGTCAATTCTTTCACGTGTGAAAGATGTGTGAATAGCCATGCTGTTGGTTCCCTCCGGTTTGTACCTCCTATTTTGATTCTACGTTATTGGTTATGATATAGTTTTCCAGTCCCCTTATAATGTATGGTCATTAAATTACAGTTATCCCTTATAATGTATGCTCATTTAATTACAGCTACCGAGTTGAGATGGCCATTGCTGATGACACAGCAGAAGGGATGTTTGTTTGTTTTGATGGTGTGATGACAAAGTTGCATGGTCTGAAAGCAAGTGAAGCTGGTCAGATGCTGGTAAGAAACGAGTTGTCAACCAATTTATATGCTCATTGTTATTTCTTACAAATGTATCTTATATGAAATATTTGTGTTATTGTTTATGTCCAAATTAGGCTGGAGATGGTGTGAATCCTGAAGACACAAATGTTCCTCCCTTTATTTCAGAAATGGAAGGGAAAACATACACCTTCCAAGTTAGGGTGAGTGAGTATAATTTCCGTGTGAACCACCAGACCTTTACCATCACGCGCATCCTGAAGAATGATGATCGCCACCCGGTTCCCGACTTTGTGGAGAACGTAAGATTATTGTCTGATATTTGATATTGGTATCGAACTGTAAATGATGCTTATTTCTTTTTGTTTGTTCAGGGAGGTGACAGTGATGATGGGAACGATGGTGCAGGTGGTAAACAAATCTCGGCTAATCCTGGGGACTGCGGTGGCCGCCTTGGTGATACAATTGCCGTTGTCTCTTCTCCTCCCGGTGATACTCCTGATGATTACCCGAGTTCCTCTTCGACTGTTGGGAAGAAAGCACGTCTCGAGTAATACTAAACTGCCGTGACCTGTCTTTTTGCTTTTTGAATCTCCTAATAACTGTTGTCCCCCTATGTGGATAGTTTTTTCGGGTTAAGAACTTCTCTATAATAAGATTAATAAAATAATTGGTCTATGCAGCATTTACCATACCTCTGAGATTTTATAATTTAAAGGTCCAACTATTTATCAAAAAAAAAAAAATGAAGTGTGTTGTGCGTATATTTTGAGCACCTATCTCTCTAAGTTGTTATCTCATTATACAATTAGATAGTAATTGTAATATACCGATATAACCTGTATACGAACTTGACCCATCTGCATAAGATTCAAGTGATTTTGCGATTCAAATGGCAGTGGGGCTAATTATATGATCATGAGCTTACGTGAATTGCCCTCGAGAATAAGACCATCTATCTGTATGTGGCCAACTCGAACCTTTTCACATTTTTCCTATATATTTCTTCCACTCACCTCGCATCTGCTCATGTAATAAACAGCTTTACTCTTTTAAATAATTACGTGTGAGCATTGCACGAAATGTGAAATCTGGTTAGGCCGTAAGCATGCAGACCGTTGTCTAAAATTGGTTTTATTCTATAATTTTTTTTTTTTTTGATAACCCAGTATCCGACCACAAAGCGTGATCGACTAGCCCACCGGGCCTAAGCCCATGCCATGACAGGATTTTTAAGCGTCCACTTAAGGGCCCCTGGTTACGCTAAGTGGTCTGGAGCGCCACACCAACTCCGCATGTAAATTATGTGGTGGCCGGGGTTCGAAGTCGGGTGGCGGGCACCTC